TGACAGCCCATTGCATCAACTCTCTGCGGCATGCCACCTTCTTCAATGCTACGACGCACCACTTGCGACGGGCAATGGCAGAGAAGATGCGGCCAAGAGGCTCCTCGGAGGGATCCAACGACGGATTCGCCCAGGATGTCAAGGTGCCGTAATGCAACGAAGCTGACACCTGGGTCCACAGGTGACATCAATTCGCTCTCTGTTTGCTGCGGACTCTCTCCCTGACTCCCTGCTCTTCAGATCAGTGGGCTCGCGGTCAAGGTGTTCCTCGAACGAAACGGAAGCCCGAGTTTTCACATCTTTTTTTGCAGTGGCCGTTGCAACCCTCGCCGGATAAGGTCCACAGGCAGTGAACGGGACCGGGGGTTAAGCTTACCCTGGTTCGTGTCAACGATTGCCTGACTGCAGGGCCAAGAGGGATTTTCAATGAGACGCTGCGATCAGAGTGTTGCGTCATACTCATTATCCGGAAGCCATTATTACTAGGCCGCCTTTTCCTGCCGTGTAGCCGCCCTCGACTTTGGGGGCTGTTGAATACACCGCGAACAGGAAATGAAGACGGGAAAAAGGCCAATTTCCAGCCGCACCCTGTTGAATGACCATCGCTAATCTGGAGAGGTATCCCCGCAAGGTGGTCTAGGCGAGCCGGCGAAGAAGCAGAGGACATTAAGCAAGTAAATCGCGTCGAGGCTAGCCGTGGTGAGAGGACGGAGTTTTCGCCGTTGCGTCGAAAGCTTGATGGGCAAGGACCAGCTTAATCCCTGACACAAGTCGTCGCAATTGGGAAGAGGCATCCAACTTGAAGATGGCAGAGGCGAGGCCAGGCATTGTGGCGAGTTGAATGCCTCGCTGTCGCCGTCCTCGTTCGTCGTTGGCTGCGTTCTGCCGGAGCACTAAATCCCTGGCTGACAGCCTAGTATTAGCAGCCACCCATCAGCCAGAATAGCTCGGTCCGTTTCCCGGGTGCCCGACTCGTGTTCGAGTGGACGTGTGGCTACGCGAGGCTAGTGAGAGGCGACGAAAAGTGGCGGGCTATTTTATCAGATTGAGACAGCAAAGAAGCTGGTCTGGTTGGGCAGGCGTCAAAGACGGCGTGGCTTCGGGTGGATGGCGCCATGTTGTTTGTAGCCGTGGGGGCAAAAGAAAGAAACGACGGCCAAGTTTGCTTTTGTGTCTTCATTGTCTGTAGTCTGGAGATTGAAACAAGGGCAGAGAGTCTAGGAGTAGTACCCGCAACTCCGTGCCGACCTTGTGAGGTTATTTCCCTGATCAATTGAGTGAGGGGATATGCTTGTGTATCTGTAATTGTTGTGGACTCTGGAGGCGGAGAGCGGGAGGGATCGAAGGATTCCGATGAGAATCATCAGCCCTGGAGGAGAGATGTCATAGCTGTCAACCAAGACCAAGAAAAGACGCGTCGGCGTCTTGTAAACTCAGCCTGCTTACTGGGTGACTCCTCCTCTGGTGTTGCGTCTTGCATCACCCACCCGCGTTGCCCCCAATGAGGCCGACCAACGCCGCCGGTCTCTCTGCAGCAGGCAGTCCATGTCGAGTCGGTTGTGTGTCGAGTGAGAAAGGCCAGGGTGTCGAGGCCAGTCAGAGTCAAGACTTTTGTGACTCTGGAGCCTCTGGACCACTCTTGGGCCGGGCGACAATCAAGATAGGCCGTCTTCACCCCTGGCCCGCCGCCAATGGCACAACATGGCGCACCTCCATTGATCCAGACCCATGCAGTCGGCCTTGTTGCTTCAAGCTTGAACTCCTGGTTCGTTTTTTTTCCCCTCGTTGCGCACCTAACGCACCCCTGCCGCCGTCGTTTCCCACCCTAGACCGGGCTCCGTGGCTCCTTGCTAGCACCAGAGCGAGCTCCAAGCTTCTCGTCCTAGGCAGTTTTCTCATCCGTTTGGTACTCCACGTGTGTGGAGAGGTGGGATGGGATTCCAAAAAGAGCAAGAGAGGAACGTTGTTACTTGTAAGAACGCCAGCAGGGGTAAAGAAAAGAGAGGGAAAAAACTGCAGTCTGCAGGGCCTTGTTGTGCGGAGTGTCTCCCGTGTTGAGCTGCAGTAGCAAAGCTGGAACAATAAAATCGATAGCTTCCCTCCCCATCCCCCAAGCAAGGCGTTCCCGTCATCCTGAGGTGAGGCTGTTGCTTATCCACGATATTCGACGCCAGGCAAAGTCTCTTTCCTTCCACCTCGTCTGACGGCCTTCAACACGGTTGCTGCCCTGTTTAAATCTTTCTGTCATTTTCGCCAAGAACGGACGTTGTTTGCGGAGTGAGAGTGTCGCCTTGTACGACGTTGTAATCGCGAGAGAAGGGATTGGTTGCGGTTGGTGCAGGACGAGTACTCGACCAGATCGAAGGAAGGAACACGACAACTTGTGAAGACCTGCAAAAAAGAGGCAACCACGGCCAACAGTCATTACTTTCTCCGCCTGGCAAAAACACCTGCTCAGTTCAGCATCCGCCCTACTGAGGTGTCCCTCGCCAGTAGTTCGAAATCTTTCGTCGACACGAGCTACAGCCAACAACTCTCGATCCTCAACATCATCAACAGACTCTTGGTCGTATTTCTTTCTTCTTCTTGGCTTTCTTGGGAACCGCAGCACTAAGGCATCAGCATTCTCACCATTCGTCGCATCCTCACCCATTGCTGTATTTGCTAGTTGAAGCTTATCAGAAGGATTTTCTTGCGATTACTCCTTCATCATGCGAGTCTCCAAGCTCGTCTCGGCATTATTGCTTGGCACTGCCGCAGCCCTTGCACCAATCGAGATTGTAGGCAGTAAATTCTTCGACGAGAGCGGCAAGCAATGGTTCATGAAAGGTACGCCAATCTTCCACTGCATTTCTGACTAGAATCCTTGGGACTGACGCAATCACAGGCATCGCATACCAACTGACACCAGGTTAGCCCAGTCTGTCTGAATGCACACTTACAAAGTCCGCTGTCTAACACAAAAGCTCGTCCAGATGACCCACTGGTTGATACTGATCAATGCACCCGCGACGCCAACCTCATGAAGACGCTGGGTACCAACGCAATCCGCGTTTACCACGTCGATTCCAGTGCAAATCATGACGGGTGCATGTCTGCCTTTGACAAGGCCGGCATATACACCCTCATCGACTTGGACACCTTTGACTCGTACATTCTTCCTGTTGGTGCCCCCCTGTTCTGTCCTATCTCCAGCTCGCGTGCTTTGGCTTACAAGAGGTACAGAATACTCCCTACTGGAACGAGACGCAGTTCAACGCATACGCCAAAGTAATGGACAACTTTGCGAAATACGACAACGTTCTCGGCTTCTTCATTGGCAATGAGATCATTGCACTTCCCACTCAGTCCCAGGTCGCCCCTTTCATGAAGGCTGCCGCACGAGACATGAAGGCCTATCGCGACAAGAAGGGTTATCGCAAGATTCCCGTCGGCTACTCCGCGGCAGACATCGCTGAGTTGCGGCCCATGCTCCAGGACTACCTGACCTGTGGCGGAAAGCCAGAGGACAACATTGACTTTTTTGGACTCAACTCGTACGAGTGGTGCGACCCAAACACGTACGAGACCTCGGGATACACAAACCTGCAAGCCATGGCCGAGAAGTTTCCTGTGCCCATCTTCTTCACGGAAACGGGATGCATCACAGGTCAGGGCCCGCGTACATGGGACGACCAGAACGCCATCTTCAGCCAGCCCATGGTTAATGACTGGAGTGGAGCCATGGTTTACGAATGGATTTACGAGGAGAACCGATATGGCATTGTGTCATACGGACCCGAAGTATCTAAGACCATCACCGCTGACGACGTGTACGATGGCTTTACCCGCAAGGGCACTCCAACCCCCAGAGCCCCGGAGTTCCAGAATCTGCAAGCCAAATGGGCCACCATCACTCCTTCAGGAGTCGCGAAATCCAACTACAATCCGACAAGCGTCTCTACCCGCGATTGTCCTAAAGCCACGGGGGGTTGGTTGGTGGACGGGAACGTCCGTCTGCCTACTCTCGGAGAGACGTTTAAGGGCAGCTTTTCTTCGAGCCCGACAGGATCAGTGACTTCGGGCTCAAGCACCAGCGCTTCCGCAGCGCCCACGCAATCCGCTGAGTCCTCGGCACCCGAGAGACCTTCGGGATCTGGCACCAAGCAAATCGCCGGTATGGCTGTTGGATTGGTTGGTGTCATGATCTTCTTCACTGTGTGGATGTAATTGGTCACGAAAATTTTTCTTCTTCTGTACATTTTGTGCATTCACTATTACGACGGATTGGATTATGGATTATACCCCTTTTGCGAATACACGGAAGCTTCGTATTGAAGCAGGGCATTTTTCAAGGCGTTGATGGCAAGAGGACGAGCGTACGGAGACTCGTTTCTAGACTTGCAAAGGGTTTGGTCAACTTAGCTCCATATTTGCTGAGTGAAAAGGGTGGTCTTCCAGGAGGGGGAGTGGTCACCAAGGGTTCCTCGAAAGTCGTTTCCTTGGAGAAGATGACGATGGAGATGAATTAATTAATAATACGCTGTCAGAGAACAACATGGAGAGGCCCTCCTAGGAGACCTTGAGTTACGATGATGGCAAGAGCCTCCCCGAATACAATAGACACCAATTTTCGATGTAAACGCCCGTTTCCTTCCACACATGTTGACGTTTTGGTGTCGGCGGACTCACATCCATTGCAACTGCCTTGACGAGTTGCTGCTGTACCATCTGCTGCGGGAAATCAATTCGCAATCTGTCGCCCCTGCGACTACCATAAAGCTTTCGTTCTCAGAGGAAGGAGAGTCTGGTGGTCTCAAAATTCAGACTGAGGAAGCCTCTCTGAAACTGACCTCTGTCATGGAAATATTCGCATCTTCCACTCGGCATTGCACAATCATCTGGGCTGTTTAAGCTAACGAAGTATGCCATATCTCAATCATCAACATCCTTCAACGAACAACATTCCCCAAGAAATCAACGGACTCCAACTTTCAACCAGCAGCATCGGTATCGGCACCATGCCCTGCTTCTTCTTTCAGTATGGCAACCCTCCACCCGAGACTACTCACAGGCACGCTCCCAGAGAGATGACGCACCACGAACCCGACCATCATCATAAAGCGGCCAAATCACACGGCCGTGCCGTCCACTTACCGAGATGGTTCACTTTCAGGAATTTCGTCTATCTCGTGATCGCAATCTGGACGATCATTGGCACTGTCTTCATAGCGGACTACATACGAACCCAGACAGGGCACCAAGCACTCTTTGATCATTCTGTACAAGGTGCTTCGCCAGATCCTACGGTTGATGGTGATTACCGACCAAAGGTATGGGTTCCATTGTCATTATTAGTTATAATAGTAGAGAGGACTTGTGCTAATGTTTGTCTTGCGTCCAAGTACACACATCGAGCCACAATATCTGGAAGGCCTTTCATGAGAAGCTCGATGGCCATGGATGCACGTACTAGCATGGCTGGATCCGATCACGCGACTCTGCAAAACATGTTGCTTGCTATTGCCGGCACAAGTCTCGTCCTTCTGGAATTACTCTATGAGTCTGTCTGGATTGGACATCAAGATGTACGTCAGATCTAGAAAGGGGAAAATACAGCATCGCTGACGTCGGGCGATTCACGATCGATGAGACCATCTTCCCCACGCGACAAATTGGCCCAGTTCTGCTTCGCTAGGAGGACGAACTCCTGAGACAAAATAGTATACCCCAGAGCACCGCGAGGAGCACTACCCCCGGGGAGCGACGCGGAGGGAACGATGGCTGGATACTAGAGGTCCTTGATGACGCGGGATGATCTGAATAACTTGGTTCTTTTGGTTAGGCTTACTGAGCAACCTCTCGGAAGCTCGCTCTTCCACCATGGCATTGAAGTATTTCATGCTGCCGAGCACAGCTTTCAAGCGCTTGCGTGAAAATACATTGCACAATAGCGTGGCTTCATGGAATAGACTTACAGCAACGACAATGCTGCTTCATTTCTTCTTCCGTTCCAGGCAGCCGCGTGGCGTACTCAGCGACAGTTTCTCACTTCACATGTTTGAGACGCTGATGCTATAGGGGTTGGGATAGGCTGCAGAGGCTTGATAGGAGGGGTTATAGACCGGGGAGCTACTTACCCAATTTGGATATGCCTGGTTTGAGCCTCGGTCGATGTTTGAACATCACGGCAGGACAACAAACAGGAGAGACCAGGGGGACAAAGTGTGGCTGAGATCCTGGATCTCTGGAGCCAGTCGCAATCTTCGATCTGGGAAAGAGGGCAGGTAGGATCGATGATGGTTTGGTGATTTCCTGGTTCGCATTTCCGTTTGGTGGGTGGCCTCACGTCAGACGGGCTGTCACATTCACTTATATCTTGTGGCACGGACTCCATTTTGTAGATCGAGGAGGGGTTTCGTTATGGACGGGCACGACGAGCAGTCTTATCAGATTATACTGGTGGTATAGTCGAAGGCGTGTGTACACGTGTACGTGTCGGTAGGTCTGAATCTCTGTTGTTCTGCGATGATACAAGATGGGAGGTGTCATCTTGGGCTTAGTGCTTGGTGTTAAGAGAAGTTGACAGGTTGGTTGGTGGGTGTAGACTTGGGAGAGAGAGGGAGCCTGTCAAACTATTTTCATGCTGACTTGTCCTAGGCGAGACTGTGACCGATCGTTGCCCTTGGCTTGATCGAAATACACGCATACACAGGCTGGGTGGTTTTGACTGCGCAGTTGCTCATCTCAGTTGAGCAGGGTGTGATGGAAGTGAGGCCCGAAAGAAAGATTTTGAGCACTCACACCAAAGACGGCGGCAGTCACGGACGAGGCTCTTTTTTCTTCTTTTTTTTCCTTTTTTTTTTCTTTTGGACCAGACTCTGATCACGAGCTTGATTAGTTTGTAGCTGTGTTGAGGTATAGATACTTTCTGCTATTGAGACTTGGACGTAACGTTATTAGCGATATGTGAGGTTCGGTATCGTATTACAGGCTAAGTATGGGATGGCCGGGACGTTTCACGTTTGGGAACACTGGGGATCGTTGTCGGTCGTTCGGTCGGTGGAAGCCATGGTCGGGACCAGAGGTTTCTGCCAAAACCTGACAAGAGATGGAAAGAAAGTAAAATCGGTGTGTGTGTACCTTACTTGACATGTTGCTGGAACGGGAGAGTTTGGAAGATGAGGCGACCCGGTTTTTCGTCCTGTTTTGGGACACCATTTCGGCAGACCGGGGGAATCAAGAGGTCAACGACGAACAAGAAAAGCACATAGTTTTTGGACTGACTTGCTGACTTGTCCTTGACTGAAGCTTGTGCGCCCCCTTCATCCCCTCGTCGGGACGGTGTGACGTGATGAGATTGTGGCTGTGGGTTTTGGAGAGAGGAAAAGATTAGACAAAAGTTTTTTGCAAACTCTTGCCTAAAAAGGCAATTGGATGTAAGAGTTATCGAGTTTCTCTGACTACCAAAGGTATCCATACGAAGCACAGCTAGACAGCCGTGGATCCGAGGGTTATGGGAAGTTGCTCAATGTCCGAGCACAAGGGAAAACGGATCGACGACTCTTTTCTAAATTCTTCTTTCCTTTTTTATCTCATGATTTTCCTTACCCCCCCCCCCCCCCCCTCCGTACCCGCTTGGACATAGGCAGGCCACGCATGTTGGGCGATCTGATCACCGGCTCTGCGACTGCAACCCACGTAACTTACTCATGTACGAAGTATCTACTTTACCTATCTGTCTTCCTTTGCTGGTGGTCAAAGAGAATATGAGAAGGGGAGAAAAACAAAAACATACAACACCAGGGATTCGCTGATCGTCACCGACTCAACTACTAGTCTGGCCCTCATCGGCTTGTCTATGGGAGAGCGGACGGGATCCCGAATTTTCCGATGGGTATGGTCGTATGTGCTTGCTGGTGGAAGGGAATTTCACTATGTTGGGTGAGAGTGGGCACGACTCCTTGGTGGTGATGGCAGTTTGATTGCATGGTGCTCACGCTATATCCCAAGCTCGCGGTCAACTCTATGTAGCATTTATAGAAGAGCAAGCAAAGATCTGAGTACCGCGAGAGCCTCAAACTTCCCTCATTTTGTGGCGGCAATGATAAAGTCCTCTTTACCCCGATTCCATCGGGCCTAGATTCAAAGTACAGCCACCGCCGGAAGTCTGGCATAATCTCCGACGCCGTTGTCAGTAAACCTTCAGAGAGGTCGGGAATTGGTGCTCATCACCTCACCTAGTGCATTCATGCTAAGGCAAGTATGTAAATGGGTAATTGGCACCTCTTTTCCGCCTCTCACATAATTCGCAAGAGCTTCGTTAATTACACTCGACATGCATACTTTACAATCCTCCTCGCAGCTTTCCTTCATCCCTAAGCTGGGATGGATAGGCATGTATATCCTCTTCGCCCATATACGTCATCCCCAACTGCAGATGTTAATTCTCATCAGGTCTGGGTTCCATGGGCCTTAATATGGCCTCCAACTTGCAAAAGTATCTATCCAAGAAGCAAGAGCCAAATCTTCGCTTTTACAATCGTACCGAGTCTCGTGGGGCACCTCTGAAGGAACTTGGTGGAACGCCATCAAACATCATCGATTTAGTGTCTGACTCGGACATTGTGTTCATGTCTTTGGCGGACGATTCAGCAGTGGCATCCGTGCTTGACACGATTCTCGAGGTTGATCATCTTGAAAGCAAGATCATAGTGGATACCTCGACGATTCAACCTTCCTCTTCGGCGACGGCTAAATCTAGACTGCAAGAGAGAGGAGCAGACTATATCGCCTCTCCTGTTGTCGGTGCCAGTCCCCTTGCTGCTAGTGCACAGCTGTTGTGGATAATGGCTGGCAAGGAGACTTCCATTAATGTTGTGAGACCTTATGTTACCGGTGTCATGGGGAAGAGTATCATTCCCACGGGCGAAGACGTTCGTCAAGCGAGCTATTTGAAGGCTGCAGCGTAAGAAAACCCAGACATGAACATCTACCTTGAAAGAATAAAAATCCTGATGGGAACTGAATATCTAGGAACTCTCTGTCGATAGGTATGGTTGAGGTGGTCGGTGTAGCTCATACTCTGGTTGAGAAAGCTGGATTGGGGGTCGAAACCGCGGAAGCGTTGATCGAGGAGCAGATTGGCCCGGTCGGATTGATGGTATCCAATCGACTGACCTCTGGGGCTTACATGCCTCCTCGAGGCGAGCGACCGTGGTCACCGGCTATCAATGGACTGGCAGCCGGAAGACAAGCCTTGAAGAGCGGTCCTCAGCCGAGATTGCTGTCACTCGTCTTGCAGCAGTTAGAGGAAGCCGTAGAGTACGCCGAAGGAATTGATCGAGAAATCGATGCGTCTGCAATCTATGGGGTTATCAGAAAGGATGCGGGACTCTCTTTCGAGACGGAGCAGGTCAAAAAGAGGGACGGCGATATGTAAGCGATACCTATCGTATATATATCGTCGGAGGAGGGTGTAATGTCACCTCAGTCTCCGTAGTATGGTGGTGGCCTGATAGAACAGAACCTTTTTTTCTAACTCTAAAGCATTTTGCGCATGTCAGTCGGTCGATCAATCCTACGGAATCCATCTACCATGCGTTGGACTCGCAAGGTGCGTAGCCTCCAAAAAATCCTTTTGCGCAGTAATCATAGCATAAATCTGCAGAAACCAGGCAAGCCGTCTGCCGAGCATACTTACAATACTGTAGACAGTAATATGCCGTGCTCGTCCAGCTGTTGTGATAACAGCATCAGCCGCAACACTAATCGACCTGGGATCGGCCAGCAAAAGACCCGCGGCTCATCCAATGATTGACCAGACAGGCCCAGGCTTCTTCTCGGCAAGTGCCCGGCTCTGCCATGGAGACGACGGAGTCTTGGACCGGAGCTCTCACCTGTGAGGCTCTGAACAGGCATCTGACTCTCGTCTCACGCCCCCGGGGAGTGGGGTGAAGGGGAGACGGGACAGGATGAACTTTCTGAAACATAGCTTGATGCCACGCCGTGGAGCCAATCGGCGTATGGTTTTTGCCCTTGCCTGCGTCCGTTATTTTGTTCCCGACTCCAAACTAACTCCATCTCCCCGTCTCCCGCCCACGGCTCCTTCGTGCTGGTGAATCAACCTCATCACCTTTCCCGCACGTTCCCTTGAAACAAGGCCAGAAGCCCCCTTCATGTCATGTGGGCTCCGGCTCTTTTTGACAAGGGACCGCGACGCTCTGGCCTCACTTTCTCGACGGCACTATCGTATCCTCGTCGGGTTGTGCCGGCCCCAGCCCTCTTAGTATGAATACACAGGTAACAGGTCAACCCTCACCGGTAGTAAGAGTTAGTTTGACCAAGGTCAACCAACGTCAGCCAAAAAGCAGATGGGCAGATGCAGGTGCCAAGTTGGATACAACACACCCCACGACAATCCGTGGAACCGCTGTCATGGGTCTCTGACCAGGGACATCCCAAGCTGACGCAGTAAACGCAGGACATGCCACTGCAAGTGACAGTGCGGGAGGGAGGGCTGCCAATACCGTCGTTCCTTTCTATGCCTATTCAGGTTGGTTCGTTTCGTTGCTCGAACTGAGCTTACACGAGGGGACGAATC